CGTTGAAGTGTTGGGCATAGTTGCCGGTTCACACAGTGAATCGGGAGCTACCAGCTATGTACAGGGCTTAGGGTCTGAGTGGAGGGTGATCCCATAGAAGGTCTTAGTAAACTAATTTCTGATCTTCCGAGAGGTTCGCCCACAGAAAAGGAGAGGACCATTTCTTCTGAAACTGCAAGATAGCCAAATCTTAAGAAGGAGAGTTGTTTCTAATTCTTATCCAATCTGTTGTTATATCTAAACATAATACATGTTTAAACTGTGAAAGTAGGGAAGGCAGCGGGGTTTTTAAGGCGAGGAATTTTCTCTCTCTCCTGGTTAGCCATAAGTGCCAGAAAACCCTTGCTCTGAAGATTCATGATATCTTACCAGTCTGCTGCTTCTCCAAACCGGAGTCCACTCTGCCCGTGAATACCAAGTTATGATCCCCAAAGTTCGTTTTTTTGTAGGCTCTGGACCAAAGTTAATTTAGGGAGTCCCAGAGGACCCTAGCAATGACACATTCCCACCAGAGATGTAGCCAGTCTTCCAGGTTAGGAGGGGGGCAAAGGTCACAGGGAACAAAAATATCCAAACCTTTTTTAGAACATCACAGAGCAGTAGGGACGCACGAGTGGAAGTGGAGCTATTGTAGCCCGCCTACCTTAGTTTCTATAGTAGGTTGAAGAGTATGAATAAACCATAATAACCATTTGGGGGATATAGGATAGAGTTTCAATGAAGGGGTCTTTTGTTGCCAACTGAGGGACAGACCAGCCTACAATGAATGGGGCTCTGAGTGAAATTTGTATCATACTTGAGAAGAGTATTCCGAGAGAGGGATCATTTTCGAGGAATCGTTGGTGTCGAGGACCGTCCAGGCATAACTGCAGACGTTCATCTTCCAATCCCTGAGTGGGGTAGCTTCCATAACCACCTGGAAGGAAGAGGAGCCGTTTGAGGATTTATTCTGCGTAACTCTAATTTCTTTCATGCCATCTATTGGGACTTGCAGTGCTTCCTGGATCTACTCGAGGTGAGAATCTTTCAGTCTCCATTATGAGGCGAGCACCGAACCATCTTCGTCCAACTCTAAAGAAGGAGACCGGCGAAGAAGTCAATTTGAACCATTGTTGTTCCCTGTAGATGGTTGCTGGTCGAGAGAGGGTAGAGATCCAGTCGACTGGGATAGTTTGTATAATAGCAGGAAGGTGATCTTGTGAACGGTGGAGGTCTGTCAAGGCTGGTCTCAACTCCCATGCTGATTTCCATTTGCTCTCTTATTCATTCCAAATGTGGCGTATGAGCCAGATTCCCTGTTGTAGCCATCCCAAACCGAAGTTGCCAGAATGTTTTGCCAAGTGTCTCGGATTGTAAGGTTCTCAAAGAGAGAGGTGTTAAGTATCTCGTGCTTGGAGGTAGGGGTCTTAAGAAGTTGGGGAAGCATTTCCCCCCATTCTCTCAGTATACTACTCCAAGTATTACCTGCGGGTTTATATGTGAAGGGTTTCATTAGAATTGTGTGCCAAACAGCGGCGTCGGGATCCGAGAGTTGTCATTCATTAGCAAAGTAGTGCTGAAATAGAATCATCTAGGGTTGTTGTTCTTGTGCAGTGAGGGCTCTGACTAACCATTTGGCTAGCAGGGCACGATTCTGGATTACCGGATCAAGAATACCTAGACCCCCAGATTTTCGTTTCTCTGTGATTTTAGCCGAACCGACTTTGCCGAGGGCTGAGCTTGCTTAAAAGTTACCTTTCTAGAGAAGACGGGTTGGTAGTCTTCTGATATTCGTGGCAGATTCTAGAGATAAGGTTCGAATAGTTAAAATATACCATATTTTAGAGGTGATAAGGGTGTTAATTATCATTGCTTTTCCGAATAGGGAGAGGAATTGAGTCTTAGACTAGGTAGAACAAGTATCTGTAATCCTATTCTCTATTATGGAGGCTTGTGTGTCATTTGGGTTATCAAAAGAGACTTAAATACCCAGGTACCGTTCTGAGTCAGTTTTTTGCTTGACCTGGATACCTAGATTCAAGGCAAGAAGGTGTTCGTTTGCTGTGAGGGCGACTGACTTCTGCTAACTGACCCTCATTTTTTAGGCAGCTTTGCAGACTTAGAAGCATTCTTCTAGTGCGGTGAGGGAGGTGATTGAGTTTTCAGAGATCACCGAGAAGTCATTTGCAAACGCCGAGACTTTGATTGAGTACGGAGGGGATACTTGGAGATTCATAATCTCGATGATGTCGGACCATATTCAATAAAACTTCTAGTTGAATGACAAACAATGAGGGGGCTAGAGGGCAACCCTGATGTACTGAACGGGTTACTTTAAAAGGTGTGGAGGAGTGTCCATTTACTAAAACCCTCCCGAACTTGAATGAAGCACCGTACAAGGCTCTAACGAATTTCCTAAAGTTCTCACTCACTCCAACCCTTTCAAGGGTAACTTGAACGAAGTCTCAATTAACTCGATCATATGCTTTTTGAAAATCAATGAGAATTACCGCTTTATTGAGATGGTGTAGATTAATCCAGTCGATAGATTGCGAGATGGTTGTCTTCCTGGTCAGGGTGAACTAATTTAGTGAGTAGGGGCTTTATTCGATGCGCTAGTGTTTTGGTTAGGATCTTGCTGTGTACATTGAGAAGTGAGATAGGGCAGTAATTCCTGACGTCGGACTTGTCACCTTTCTTGTAGAGAATGGTAATAATGCCCTCGGATGTGCGGGGTCCTAATGCTTGATCGGTGAGGATAAGGTTAAAGACCCTCAAAAGATTTGGTGCAATCAAGGACCAGAATCGGATGTAAAATTCTATCGGCAGGCCGTCTGGACCTGGGCACTGCCCTTGACCATGTTGTTGACTGCTGCCGTAAGCTCAGACATTGTGATAGGGTTTTCTAGTGAGGAGGATTGTAGATCAGAGATAATTTTTTTTGTGGATCCCCATAGGAAATCCTCAAGGTGGGGGGGTATGATTAGGCTGTTAAGAGCTTTTTCAAATGTAAAAAGTTATCCATAGAATAATTTAAAATATTCAATGAGCTTGTCAGGATCTTTTGCGGGAGGTTGGTTGGGGTCGTCGGGGTGAGAGAGAATAGTGATGAGGGAGTTTTTGCCTTGTTGCCGGACCACATTGGATATTATCTTGTTAAGTCAATCTGTATGCAGAATTTGTCAACCTGTTTATACTTAATCTAAAGATTATGGTTTTTAATTTGCATGTTTTGCCATTATTGGAAAAACATGTTTTTTCTTCGATGATTAATAATTTACGAGAAATAGCACTTTGTCTTTTTCTTTGAAGCATGTTCTTTCTTTAATGGTTAATAATTTATGAGAAATAGCACTCTGTCACTTTCTTTTCCAACTTTTGTATTTTTCTTTGGATTTGTAATTCTTAGTATTTTCTGTTGACAACCTTGACCCTGGAGATTAGATTGAGTTTGTTAGATATAAGCATGAAACCTTTGTCCAACCAAACACCCTCATTGTCAAATAGAACAGTGCTGTTCCGCCATTCCTCCCAAATTTCCATATCTATTCAACCACACTAGAAACCAAATCTTATGGAATAGTAGACTTGGTTGGTGAAGATCCAATAGCTACTTCATCGGTATGGTTTCGTTGGCCTTCTTTATTAGACTCCAAAGACTCAAATGAAAAATAAAAAATTGAGAAGAAATAGTATAACTAAATGATTGTAGAATTCCAAAGTAATTTACATATTTTATCATTTATATATGACAAATATTTAATGTAATTTATATGACAAATAATAATAAATAACCAAAATATAATTAAATGAATAGACTAAAATACTCAATTTGGTAATAAGGAGAATAAATATAAATCGCTAATTAGACAATTCATACTTGAGTTATGAGAAATCTAAACTTATCGAGAACATGAAGGCTTAGTCTGAAGAGCCATTCCCTTTCGAAGCCTGCAACCCCAAATTGATCTCAATGTAAATTGGGTTGTGGTCTGAAAGGGGGTCGGGGACACTGTTTGCTTTGTGGATTAACTATAGTCTTCAGTCATTGGTTAGAAAGAAGTCCGGTCTCCTTTTTGTGGGGATCGTGGATTCTGAGGATATAGAGGAGGTCCAAGTGTAACAGCGGGTGTTCGGGTGCAGCGAACGAAAGAGATCAAAGAGTCCTAAGTACATTATCAATTCATTGAGGGCAACGACTCCCCAGGGTGGGAAAGGGGGGTGGTGGAGTCAATGTCGGGGTTGGGGATTGTATTCTAGTCCCCGCCTATGATTAGAACGTCTACTGGTGGGATAATGGAGGGAAGGTTGAGCAAGAAGTCGAGTTTTTGTGAATGGTCTGATAGGACATATACGGACATGAAAACCCAAGTCTGGTTATCAAGTGCGAGAGATGTCCTACCGTAAAGTATGACTGGTTGTAGTTGATAGGTGGGCCTCCAACGGGGCTTGCTTCTGACCAGCCTGATAAAAAAAGGTTGTTGTTCTTTCGGCCGGTCTGATCGGGATTGTGTCTTGGAGGTGACGATTGAGACCCCCCGTAGAATGTAGGCCGATCGACTGACGTAGGGTACTTATACAGTCAACCACACTGGTTCTGTAGTCCGTGACGCATCATGACCCTGATGAGTTCGGCACTGGCGGCCGAACGAAACATGTCGGGTCCCTCGCCAGATGCTCGGCTTGGTCTTCATGTTCTGGCGTGTTGTCGCCACCTTTCGGTTCGGGCTAATGGGATGTGCTTCATGTTTTTCGTAATCCTATTTCGTCACGTTCGGGTTTATTGCATCGTATGTTGATTTATCTTTACCTATTCCTTTCTCTCTCCCCTCTTCTCCTTTTCTCTCTCTCTCTCACTCTTCTCTCTCCCTACTCTCTCTCGTCAGTCTCTGTGTCGTTGATTTGCTATCTTCTTGATGCTTGTTGGGATCTGTGAAGTTTACTGCAACCATCCTTTCAACGTTGTAACCCCCGTAGAAATTAGACTACGGGAGTGTGGCTCGATTGCGGGTTGATAGGAGACGGCGTTTTCATTAGGCACGTGAGTCTGTTCTCTTTTCGCCTCTCTCTTTTTCTTCCCATGGCGGGTTCTTTTCCTTCCCGTGGTTGCTATACTTGTGGTTCACCTCATCATTTCTTTCGGGAATGCCCTCAGCGATTCGACGGTCAACGTCCTCCGGCGACCGGCGCTAATGTTGTCCCTACCGGGCAGCCTTTGCTCGCTCTTCCGACACCGGCGTCGAATGGAGAAGTCTTGCCTCCTGCTACTCAGCAAGCTGTCGGCAACTTCGGGGGTGGATACCACAATAACGGTTACCAGTACGGAGGGTCGCCTCGTAGCAATTTTTGGAAGACTAACCAAGAGCGGCTCGACAAGGTGTACAATAAATATCTGGCTGACACGGAGAAAGAATCCAAGCAAAAGGAGGAGGAGGAGCGGGTTAGGAAGAACAAGGAGGAGGAGGAGAAGAGAGAGGCATGGAGGAAAGAACGTGAGAAATTGGAATCAGAAATGGCTGCGAGAATTGATAAGCGATTGGATTTGGTATGTCAGTCAGTTAAGGTTAACCATCAGACCGAGGGAGAAAGTAACACGAGAGGGGAAGATGAGGTTGTTAGGCTGAAGCGGGAGAACGAAGAACTAAAAAGGGCGCTATGGGGTGACAGCGATGATGGCAAAGTTGGCAGGCTTGAACGAGAGATTTTTGAATTACGCAAGCAAGTGAATGAGAAGGAGAATAGGAGAGATGAAATAGTGGCACTCAAGCATGAGATTCAGCAACTGCGTGAATCAGCGGTTAAGGAGCAGGAGGTAGTTGGGCTTAGGAAACAACTAGAGGACCTTCGTATTGAGGCACGACAGTGGAAGGACGAGGAGCTACGACCGGGGAACAAGCGGGGCAGCATTGCTATGTCTACTCCGGTTACTAATGTTCGGGCGTCATCTAGGCCTCGTCAGACTAGAGACAACGACCATGAGCAAGACAATTGGAGATCCGAGTACAGGAAGCTGCAGAGTCTGCAGAGGGCAGATTTCTTGGAAGTGGAGGCGCTTAAGAAGAAAAGGGCATAAACTGAGATGAAGGTTATTAACCTGCAGAAGCAGATGAGTTAACTGAAGGCTAACGAGGGGGAAAGGGAGAAGACACAGGGAGGGACAAACCTGAAAGAGAAATTGGAGGCTGTGGCGCTTGGGACGGCCCGGAAAGGCAGGAAGGCCACCCCGAATCGCGAGGGGTTGGGACACATGCCATGTTGCGAGGACGAGCCCAAGCATGGTTATAATGATCGCACTACTTTCATCGAAGAACAAACCAAATTTCTGAAGATGCTGAGGAAATGTGCACTAGAACAGATATGCAAAGAGGCGGGGCTGAAGATCGGGAAGGTGGATGATATGATCGAGGACATCGTGCAGTTTCGTACCTCGAACGCGTTTGGAAAGGGAGACGACAAAGGACCGGCGGAGGTCGTCGACGTTGAATCATCACGTGATGAATCCACAAGCGGCGGTGATGAAGCCTCCGCCGAGCTCTAGTTGATCTCCCGAACGCGGCTACTTTGTGGTCCTGGGCCCTGCTCTGTAGGCGTCGTAGATCCCTGTCTGCTACTGAACGTACGACGTCTTCCTGTCTTCTTTCCCCTCTTGAGAGCACTCAGGGGTGTCCTTCTTCTCTGTCAAATCGACGTTTGGGTTCTCACTCGTTTGCTCTGAGATTGTCGGTTGGAGGTGGTTTGGTACGTGATAAGGAGTATAACGCTTTTTTCCGGTTGATTGTGATAGGGTTAATTCTGAAAGGGGAAATTCCATGGGCTACTAAATTATGTTTTTACCTGTATGAGCTTGTGCACTCTGATTATGACTTGGAGGAATGTCGTGGTCCCCTTGTTTATGTATTGATCTCCCCTTGGTCTCGTCATTTATATGTCGGTTCAACCTCACACTCTTTGCATACTAGGTGGTGTGAACATGTGTATCGTGCGTGCAGTTTGAAGGTTGTTGACGACGGAGGTCGCAATCACCGATTGTATACCTGGCTCCGTCGATGTGATGTCGGTTTCTATGTTGCTATCCCTCTATTTGGTTGCTCGATTGAGGATATGTTGGGACTGGAGAAGAACATTATTGGTAACGTCAACCCACATCTCAATTTTAGGGATCGACGGAAGAAAGGTAAGAAAAAACGACCTGGGCTGCGCGAACGGATTAAGCGGAGCAAGTCTGTCTTGAAAACTGTTGTTGGTCTAACCTTGGGTACACATCTCATCTTTCGCTCTTCTGATGGAACGGTCTCGGCTTCTCTTTCTCGGGTGCTAGAGCACTGTGTGTGCGGTATGGTGCAGAAAGTTGGCGTTGAATGTATCGGTGGGGATAGGTTGGCAGAAAATTGGAAAGTACTTAAACGGAAATTTGGCTTCTCCATCGTGCATTGTGAGGGGTCGGTGGAACTCCTCCGTAGGGCTAAGGGTTGGTTGCGGGCTGGCCGGTCCTTGGTTTTTAACCCCGTTGTTGTCTTCTGCTCTCGGTCTGCTATTCTGGTCCCTACCCTAGCTGTTTTTTTGTCTAACCCGGCCTCTCGACGGATTTTGTATTCTTGGGATTTGACGATGTTAATTAACGTTTTTTCTGCTATTCGGGGTCTTTCAGACAAGCGTTCTCGGTATTCTCTACGGGTCATCCTCTCCGGTTGTATCCGTAGACGATTTGGGTTGTATGTGCGACGAAGACTTACGGTTCGGGTCACGTTTGATGACAGATTGAGCAAACCAGGTTTGCGTGAGTGTTGTACTAATCTGATCATGAGAGCTGACACCTTGTTCGAATGGAAGGCAATGGTGTCAAGGAGGATGAGGGTGGTTTGGCTCAAAAATAAAAGTGTGGGTGATTGGCTGTTCGATTTTAGGGCAGCTGCTAGAGAGAAGGAGGGGGCATGCACATGCGTGGATCTTGAGGCGGCGTTTCCTAGGGTCGCTGGGCATGTGTGCTTCAGGCTTAATGAATGTGACATGGTCTTGTCATGGATGAGAAACAATAAGAATATTCCACGACCGGACGGAGCTTACCTGATGTCTAGGTTAAGGAGACAATTGGATGATTCAATGAAAGAACTTGAGTTCTTGGTTTCCCTGGTTACCGGTGTTGAGTTGAGAGGGTGTATTCAGGAAGGTGGGAGGGAAGGTAGTGATGATTGTGCTGTTGATGTTGTTCTTGAATGGAAGAGGAGATTGCAGGGGCTGGTGAAAGTGCCTATCGATCACAGTGCAGGAGATACGCTGGTGTGTTGCTCAACAGTTTACCGGATGGGAATTTCCAAACTGTTTTTTGATAACCTTGGGTTCCGCAGGATCACTGAAGCTGAGGATAATTTGTTGATGGATATGGGGAACAGATACAAGGACCAGCGTCTTGCTAAATTTGCTAAGTGGGATGCAAAGGGGAAGTTGGGCGAGGCTTACATTGTGCCCAAGCACAAAGATGTGGCCAAGTGGCGGCCCATTCGTCCCACGTTTTCTGAACTTGAATGTGGGGTCAGGGCTAGCATAAAGGCTTCTCGGGTCATTAACCAGATGGTTTGGGATCTGCCCACTGAGTCACATTTTAACCTGAAAAGTACTGACCTGTTGCGTGACGGTATTCGACGGGTTAATGCTGCTTTGAAACAAGGTGAAGGATGGGTGACTGCGGCGTACGACATCAAAGAGATGTTTTGCAATTTGCCGCACTCATCCATAATGCGCGCGGTGGAGTGGGTGACGGATTTCTGGGCATCTAAGATGATGCATGGCGTGTTGGTTAAAAAGCTGGGTAAAGGAGCTAAACTGCAAAGAGGAAGGAAGCAGGAGGGGTGGGACGCCGTTGATTTTCAGACTATCCGTACGTGCATCAAGTTCGACTTGGGTAATACTTACATTAAGGTGGTTGGTGTCGTTCTGCAGCAGGTCGTCAGCATTCCGATGGGTAAACCGTCTAGCCTGGCTCTCGCTTGCTTGCTTTGTGCACATTCTGAGTTCGGGTTCCTGTCTTCCATTGGGAACGATCGGAGGTTGTTCTATGGATTAAGGCTGGTTGATGACGTCTCCATCTTTGCTAAGTATAGGCTTGATGATGACAGTTCGAGGGCTAAGGCCGAGGATCTGGTGAGACTTTTTGAGAAGAGCTATGATAGGAACCTGCTTTTGGAATTCACCAACCGTTCCAACTGTTTGGAGTTTTTAGGATGTGTCATTAAAGACTTCGGTTTTCCGATGGGAGTAAGGTGTGCTGCTGTGCTCGTATACTAGCAAGCAACAAAAGATGCATGATGCTAACAGTTCGAGGGCTAAGGCCGAGGGGGATTCTGCAGGGCATCAAGTTTCAGAACCTGCATGATGCTTGCTCGTATACTAGCAAGCAACAAAAGATGGCGGTTGTGGGATCTTTCATGCATCGGGCAAAGCGTTTTACTGATATGCCAGGTGCTGAGTTGTGCTTTCTCTTCTCCTTGAAGGTTGAGTTGAGGTTACGACAATTTGAGGATGTGTTTTTTGATAAAGTGTTGAAGAAATTTTCGGATAAATTTGGGGGTGTTTGGCAAAACTGGGTTGATTGTCTGACGGGATGGGACAAGTTATCCTCTGTTGTTGATATGTGTCGAAAATAGCAGGGGGCAAAAAAGGGTGATGGACTCTGGACTAGGAAGGGCCTCCCTTTTGGGCCCTGTAGTGTTGTGGCTGGACACGGGACTATCGTAGAGTATGACTGGTTGTAGCTGATAGGTGGGCCTCCAACGAGGCTTGCTTCTGACCAGCCTGATAAAAAAAGGTTGTTATTCTTTCGGCCGGTCCGGTCGGGATCGTGTCTTGGAGTTGACGATTGAAACCCCCCGTAGGATGTAGGCCGATCGACTGAAGTAGGGTACTTATACGGTCAACCACACTAGTTTTGTAGTCCGTGACGCATCATGACCCCTGATGAGTTCGACACTGGCAGCCGAACGAAACATGTCGAGTCCCTCGCCAGATGCTCGGCTTGGTCTTCATGTTCTGGTGTGTTGTCGCCACCTTTCAGTTCGGGCTGATGGGATGTGCTTCATGTTTTTCGTAATCCCATTCCGTCGCGTTCGGGTTTATTGCACCGTGTGTTGATTTGTCTTTACCTATTCCTTTCTCTCTCCCCTCTTCTCCTTTTCTCTCTCTCTCTCACTCTTCTCTCTCCCTACTCTCTCTCGCCAGTCTCTGTGTCGTTGATTGGCTATCTTCTTGATGCTTGTTGGGATCTATGAAGTTTACTTCAACCATGTCCAGTATCCCATTGGATCAGACTTAAAGTTATGTATGTGGTTCTCTAGTTTTTTTATGAATTAGTATTATAGTACCACCTTTGGAGCCCCGGGTCGGGACCCAGGACTGTGGACCTCTCCACCATGTGTGCATGGAGGCCAGCCTGTCGTTTGACAACTTGGTCTCTTGCAACATGATTATGGACACTCGTTGGGAGTGAATCCAACTCTTCGGTCGTGCTCTTTTATGTTTCCCATTATTGTCTACTAGGCCGCGTATGTTCCAGGAGGCTACACTTAGCCTACTGTCCATCCTCGGCATCCGCATGCGCCTTAGGGTGGATAAACGCATTCAATTCCTGGGGGTGCATGAGGTTGGTGGTATCCCAAGGGAACTTCATCGACTCCAGGATGTATCTGGAAAAGATGGAACGTTCCTTGGGGACATTGGCGTCAATATCTGCTAAAATGTCACCCTTGATGCCGTCTCTCAGGGTAGGATATAATTTCTTCTTTTTATTGCCCTTCTTAAACCAGGCTGTGGGGGCCCAGAACAGACCCTCGTCCGCAATTTGAGGGTCCACACTAGGTGCCAAAGCAGCTTCCAGACAGCACAACATGATTGGATGGGTCTTTCCGGAGTGACCCTGACTGTAGATAGAAGAACAGGGTAGAGACGGGATTGGGCGCACAAAGTACTTTTCGTGCAGTGTTTTCCTAGCAAACTGCAAGAATGTGTTTGGGTGTGGAAAGGAGTTGGAGGAGAGGGAGGGAAGAAACAGGTTGTTGCCGTCCTTCTTCTACAGAAGAAGCGTCGTACGCTGATTGCTTTGTTTGAAGATGAGTGGTGTGAGTACAAAGGGAGTATCGTGCTGTGTCATGGGGGTGACAGGTCCCACCCACGAGGAGAGGGGAGTCCCAGGTTGAAGCGCATTTGTCATCATGATATCCTTTGTTTTCATTTTCTTGGGGAGTTGTTTTGTTGTCAAGGTGTTACGTGTTCCACCCTGTGTAAGTGCAACACACTAAGATGGGGAACCGGTATCTGCCCTAGAGGGTGATGGGCCTT